AAGCTTGTGGTATTTTCTCTTTTGGAGGTTTGCTTTCTTTTTTTTCTATCTCCTTGAGATCTGCTTCATTATTTCAACTCTGAGAGTGTGGACAATAAGAATCTCATCCCCATTTTTCATTTGATTGGCTAGGAACACCTTGCTACCAGACCTATGTTTTTACCTGAATAAAAATGAAGTAATTTTTTCAGAGTATTAACTAATTCAGTGATGGCGAACCTATGACACGCGTGTCAGAGGTGACACGCGAACTCATTTTTTTTTGGTTGATTTTTCTTTGTTAAATGGCATTTAAATATATAAAATAAATATCAAAAATATAAATCTTTGTTTTACTATGGTTGCAAATATCAAAAAATTTCTATATGTGACATGGCACCAGAGTTAAGTTAGGGTTTTCAAAATGCTGACACGCCGAGCTCAAAAGGTTCGCCATCACTGAACTAATTAGACATTTTGTAGAAGGTTAGCTTGATCTTTTCTCTCATATGATAAGATCAAGTGTTAGAGAAAAAGGACCTATTTATGGAAAAAAATATATTTGGAGAAGCTAAGCCTTGGGCCAGTAGGAAAGGTCAAGCAAGACCAGCACTGGACATTCATGGGCATCTCACGTCACAGGAAGCAGGAGCAACGGGCATACAGATGGCTGTTCGTGGGTAACCCTGGCCCCATGTATGTACACTCCTTATGGCTTTCAGAGCAAATTTTATATTTGATGAATAAAATGTTGTTTCAAAACTTTCACTATTCTCTCAGTGTTTAGTGCTTTTTTTTTTGTCTGGGAATTTTATACAGATATTTCAAAGTAAGTACTTTTAAGTTTCAGCTCTACCTAAAGAGAAATTATATCCTTCATAGACCATCTCTATATTAAATGTAACCTTAATTTAAAAAGAAACAGGTATACTAGTATAATCCTGCTATTGGCTAGCAGGATTATTTGTAATATAAAATATTTTGTTATCTAGGACTGCCTAAATTTAGCTTCAGTTTTTTTAACATTTAAATTATGTTTAAAAATAAAACATTTCCAGAGAATATTCATTTAATTTTTAAAAAGGAAACAGGACACTGTGATGGGAAAGAGCAGTGAATTAGAAATTATAAGACTTGGGCTCTAGATCTGACCTTGCTCTGTGACCTTGGGAACATCTGATGAATTTGGGAACTTTTGGGGGGGGGGGGTCTGGAGGGAGACAGAGAGAGAGAGAGAGAGAGAGAGAGAGAGATTGCTCCCAGCTCATAAATGCTAGGCTTTTGTAATTCAAGCATAGAAGAGTTCTTTCTTATTCTCACAGTGACCTCTTGTGGTAAATCCTTTTTTATTTGCAAAGTCAACTTTGGGTTTGTTTTTGTTGTTATTTCTAGTAACTATATTTCATATTGTTAAGTAAATATGGCTTGTTTTCAAAAGGTGAATCTTGGTTGGAAATTAGAGGTTGATTAAACTGGGATCTGGGTTACCCTGTGGCTTCCTCAGAAACTACATGGCCGACTCCTGACACCTACCGAAGAGAAATGCTCTGGTTTTGCGCTGAGTGCTGTGTGTGTTCCTCTTCCTCCTAGGGACCAGGGGAAGAGGCGCCCGCGGGCCTCCTCATGCCCCAACAGCTCGGACCTGAGCAGGCTGGGAGCCAGAGCAGGTGAGGTGCTTGTGTGCTTAGAGGTCCCCAACATTCCTTCACCTGCTGCAGAAAGAAATGTCTGCACTGAAGACATCCGGTGTTGGCTCACTGCTTGAAAACTCCAGGAACTTTGCTCAGCTTGGCCACACAGCAACATTGATTTTTATAACTTTTTGTTATTTTCACAACAGTCTTACCATTCTTACCATTCTTCCAGCTCAAATACTATTATCTATAGGTTACACTCTTAATGAAATTATTTTGTAAAAGCGTTTGGAAAGTTTCAAACCATGACATCAACATAGTTATTGAGTTCAAAACTTTGGTTCAAAATCGTTACTCACGTAAACGAAACTATATCAACTATATGAAGACAGCTCTTCGGGTGTTTAAACCAGTTGAGAAAAATATGTGACAATATTAGTCACAGAATAGAAATGATACAAAATGTATCATGCAATGGAACATCGCAATTAGAAAAATGAACTAGACTACATTTAAAATATTGAATGAAATGAGTATAAGCATAACATTACATGAAAAATTGAGTTGCAAAAATAATGATATATGTTGTTTATGGATATAGATCCATGTTGTAAACATGCTCCAGCATGATAAAAATAAGCACCTGGTTTAGAATGGTGGTAACCCTCAGGGGGAGAGAGAGTGGGGAGAGCAGGTGCGGGGAGACATACAGAGGGCATCAACTATATCTGTAACATTTTGGTTCTTTAAAAGGAGGAGGAGGATGAAAATATGGCTCATATTTGACCAAAGGAGTCTGGGGTATGCAGGTGTTTGTTATATTCTTTGTACTTTTATTATATACATGAAATTTTATGAAACCAAACTATGATTAGGTTCAAAAATGTTTTTATTATCTTCAAAACTAATTCCTTATCAATAAAATGACTTTTGTGGCCGATGAGAATTTCTGTAGTACTCAGGGAAATCTTAGATAGGCTCATTTCCATATCAGCATTGTTGCTGAGGCTTTTATATTTACATGCTAAAAACATCAGCCAATAAACACTGTGTCGAGTTTTTGTGCCCAGAGCTCAACGTTGTGGTTTAGAACTATAACCACTGAGACAGCAAAATCTTCAAAAACATGCTGAAATTTCTGCTTGACTTACCCAATTTCCTGTTGAATCATAATTTTTCTCTTTAGCAAACCTAGGTAAAAGTGCTTTCTGAAATATTAGCTTGTTGCTCACGACTGAGACAAACTTTATTTTTTTGTGTGGCTCTTAAAAAGTAATCATCATGAGCCCATGCTTCAGTTCCTAGTTAGTATGTAGCATGGGATTTGTGTGGGGAGCAGAGCCGGAGGAGGTGGGCGAGGGCGGAGATGTGGAGAGCCTGGAGCTGGAGACCACTGCTCAGGCAGGGGTCCCTAGGAGGGAGTGGGAAGCAAACCCTTACAGGACAGTGCCCAGCTAACTTCCGTTCTGAGAGCAAACACATCCCAGAAACATTCAGACAGGCCTGTGAGGACCTTTCCTTTCTGAAGGTCAAACAAACTGTTCTGTGATTTCTGGCTTAGCCCTGTAATCCGACTCTTCCCGGGATGAACGTTACCAGTTCTGTTTGTCCTGAGAAAAGGGGGTGGACAGTCCTGGTTCTCATAGAGCCATTCCATTATAGAGCATATTGCATAGGCGGTAAACATGCTGATGTGAGCTCACTGGACTTGAAATTTGTGTGTCTAGTAAATTTAAGGGCATCATAAATGTTGGTCAATGCAATTATTTGTCTCACATTATCTTTTGGCTTTTGGCTTGATATATGTTGATTGTATTCATATACTTTGGACTCTGAAGATGTCATGTCCCTGGGAATATGAACAGCTATGTTTTTTATACTGCTTGAATATTCAGGTTTACTTTTAGAATCCATATTTGTAATTTATCAGAGTTATGGCAGACTCATGAGAGTCATGATCCCAAAGATGATGACGGTGGCCTGTAATCTTTTATCTGCAGTTCTGAAATACCTAAAGCTCTGAAAGCTGAAATATTTTGCAAACCCCTTTAGTGACAATGCCTGAGCTGTACTGACCCCAGGCCAATGTAGTCTTGGTTCCACCAGTGTGAATAGTCACATATTTTGCTACCAGGGGGCTGCCCCAGAGGACTCTACTGGGGGTGGCATGTAAAATGCAGTGTGTGCTCCATATTGCCTTACTAAAATGCAAAGTTTTCTGCATCCCAAATCACATCTGGTCCCAAAGGCTTTGGATAAGGGATTGTAAGCCTCTACTGATATGAGCTGATTTTTCCCATTTCAACTATGTGTTTTGTGTGAATTCTCGCTTGCAGATGATGTGAAACCTTGCAGTTAAAACTAGTGACAGCCCCTACACTGCTTAGTTACAGCTTGTGGACAACCCCTTTTGTCTACTTTTGCTGCTCACGTGCTCTCCCTGCCCAGCGAGTGTCAGCCCCTCCTGGTATTAAGAAGGTTTAATAAAAGGTGAGCTTAGTCTCCCTGCAACTGGGAGTGGCTGTTTGCAGCAGGGAGTGCACTGGGCCAAGGCCTGTGAGCTGGGCGCATAGGTAACGGGTACAGCTTTCCTGCCTCTCGGCGTCATCACCTCACTTAATAGGCATCACATATATTCTGTTCAAGAGTAATACAAGCATGTGAGGAGTTTTGAAAAATACAACAGAGCACATAAGAGACATTAATAAGCCATAATCCCAGCGCTTGAGATGACCATTGTCATCCCATTTTACAGAGGAAAAGCAAAGCGACTTGCCCAACGTGAACCTGCTCGTAGGTGGCAGAGCTAGGACTCACACCCAGACAGTACCTCCAGGACCTGTGCTCCTAAAGGGCCTCCCCGGTCAGCTTGTCCATTTTTTAGTTGAAACAACCTAAATGTATACAGGCCACACACCTTTCTTTTTAAATATATTTTTAAATTGATTTCAGAGAGGAAGGGAGAGGGAGGGAGAGATAGAAACATCAGTGATGCGAGAGAATCGTTGATCTGCTGCCTCCTGCACACCCCTCACTGAGGATGGAGCCCACAACCTGGGCATGTGCCCTGACTGGGAATCAAACCTCCTGGTTCCTGCTCCATAGGTTGATGCTCAACCACTGAGCCACGCTGGCTGGACCAGCCCACACACCTTTCAATTCTCATTCTCATTCTCTCTCTCTCTCTCTCTCTCTCTCTCTCTCTCTCTCTCTCTCGCTCTCTCTCTCTCTCTTTCTCTCTTTCTCCTCATCCTGTGACATTTTTTAGGGTCCAGGCACACACTATGTGGTCACTTAATTGGTATTGGGGAGGGCACAGATTTCCTGATCCAAACCAGATGTGGTGCCCCCTCCAGCTGGACTGTCAGTGTCTCAGATCTTGAGATAATTCCTTGTGAAATGTAATCATGATTTACAGTTTCTAATATGATTTGCATTTCCCCTCAAAGTTACCTTTTAGTTTGCTGATTTGCTGCAGGGCAGAATAGCATAGAGGTCAAGTGCAAAGACTATGGACCTATTTGACACTGGGCAGGTAACTTAAGATGTCTGAACCCCACTTTCTTCATGTGGAAAATGGGGACAATTTGGGAACCTCCTCATCGCATTGTTACAGAAATTAAAGGTGGGCCTGCTGCACCCGACATACATGGTGAATGGTCGCTTCACTTCTCTGCAGGCTGCCTCTCCAGGCAGCATCCATCGTGATGTGCTGTGTCATACAGCCTGATACACCTCAGACATGATGACCTGTTTGTTTTTTAATCAAGGGAAGAAATTGCTATTTATTGAGTGTTATGCTGGGCACTGGGCTCAGAGCTTTGCCTGCATCATGTCTTGTAACTCACACAAAACCCTGAAGGCAAATGATCTGATCTCTGCTTTGCTGGTGAGGCTTAGAAAGAATGAGAAACTGGCCCCTGGTCACCCGATGCATCAATAATGAAGTTGAATTTCAACTGAGATTTGGCAGCACCCAAAGCCCACATTTTTCCCACCCCCACCCCCACCCCCACCAAATTAACTTGGCCCCCAATGCTGTGGACATTTTATTTTATACTAGAGGCCCGATGCACGAAATTCGTACAAGGGGCTCGGCCCTTGCAGCCCTCGCAGCCCCGGCTTCGTCTGGAAGGTCATCCGAACGGTCATTCTGCTGTTTGTTCTAATTAGCATATTAGCTCTTTATTTTATAGGATAGGACAGAAAATCCCTGCAAGCCTCCCTGTTGTAAAACTTTCCATTAAATGTTTTCAAGATCTTTATTCTTTACTTAGCTATAGTTTTCTATTCTGCTTTAGAGAGGGATAAGTTTAAGTAAAAATAACTCAAAACTGTTTGCCTTACTGACAATAATTTCAACATTTACAAAGCTTAAGATTTTATGAAGTATCCCAATCGGAATTTTACCTGATCTTATTGGAGTTTCATTTGGGGTGATTTGATTAGAAGACATGTAGTTCTAAATAGTGTTAGTCGAGCTTTGGGGGCAAAATGTAATTTAATTCTAGAGTTTACTATTCTTAGTGACAAATAGCAAAGGCTTTTGACGATGCTCCAGTTATAACTCTTTCCCCTGCTCTGGGTTTCTTTTGCAGGTTCAAAAGCTGACCTGCAAGAAAAGGATACAGAAATGGAAGTAGACGATGTCTTTTGGAATACCAGGATAGTGCCAATTTTGCACAAATTAGAGAAAGGTAATAAAAAAGTATTTTTTTTGTTTTAAATCAGAAATATCTGTGGCTATATATATGTCCCCGTTGCCCTGATGTTTTTAGTATGCTTTGACTATCATTTCCATGAACTCATTAAAAAACAAATGAAGTCATCTACCTGTTTACCCAGGACTATATGTAAACCTAATTTTTAATTAGGAAAATTGTATTTTAAGTGCAGCAAGAGAGTCTACTTGTAAAATCCCCCTTGGAATATATATTTATTTTCACCTCCTCTGCCCACAGGGATGCTGGTTTGAGCTCTTTAGGGTGGCAGTTAAGCAAGAAAGTGAAAGATTGAAACAGATAGCAGGTCTCTGAAACTTGACTAAGTCTCATAGACTGGCGTCCTGGGCAGCTGTGCCCCTGGTTTTCTAGATCCAGGGAGGGCACAGATTTCCTGATCCAAACCAGATGTAGTGCCCCCTCCAGCTGGACTGTCAGTGTCTGAGATCCAGATGCATATGTCCTTCTCTCTCTAGTTAGAGCACACCTGTCAGGGTGCCTCTCAGAGCAGGAAGTGTTGTGGGGTGTGCACTCTGGAGTGGCCGGCAGTGAAGGCCCACGATCAACAGGCCTCTGCAGATGTGACCTGTGGGGAGCTTGCCAGTCAGGGGAATGGCCCCCACCTTCTTCCTCTCTCCGCTGCTCGGGGAGTCCATTTCTGAGGTTGAAACAGGTTCCCGTGGAGCTGCAGCCATGGCCTGAGGCTGAGCTCAGTGCCTGGCACAACAGCACACAGTAGGCCTTCACTAGCAATTGTGGGATGAGTGCCCCTGAGATGAGCAAAACAGCATGGCAGCCACAGGAAGAGGCCCAGGGGAAGTGGGGAAGTGAGTCCTCCCCAGCAGCCATGCCGAACAGGGAAGCCGTGCAGACTCACTCCCTAACAGGCCACATGAGCTCGGCTCCCTGTAGGTTCTTGGCCGTGCTCAGGTGGGTGTGGGAGGCCTGCACATCGGGGGACTCACCTGACCTCGGTGCAGGTGCTCCTCACCTGCCAGGTGAGGGGTGAGTGAGACCAGGTCCTCACCCAGTCCACTGCCGCTCAAATCCCTGAGAATAAGAATGTTCTGATGTGGTCCCTCTAGAGTTCCTCATCTTCACCCTCTTGTGGGTAAGCCCAGTTAACTTCAGCCCTTACTTGAGGAGATGCGGGCCTAAGCTAGTGAGGGAGCACTTAGTCGGGTAGGAGTTTAACAAGTAAGCCTACGGGGAGGCACCCAGCGGGAGAGGGGCTGGCAGTGCAGGGGCCTCTCTTGGAGGAAGACTTCAGCCTGAAGGATCCCAGGAGGTTCTGAGGGCTCTGCCCCGTGGGCCCCTGCAGGAGCTAGCAGGGCCTTGGGATTTGAAATGTGGACGAACCTCCCTTCTCAGAAGGATTAGACGCTTAAGTAGGATGTGTCTTCCACAGACAACTTTAACAGCAAAAGGGGCAGGCTGGGTTACTTGATCCTTTGAGATTCTTTTTCTTTTCTTTTTTTTTTTTTTTACTTTTTTTTTGACATAATTTTAGGCTTATAGAAAAGTTGCAAGCACAGTACAAAGAAATCCTGTATGCTCTTCCCCCAGATTCCCCAGATATTAACATTTTACCACATTTGCTTCATCATTCTCTCTCTCTCTTCCTCCCTCTTGCTCTTTTTTCTCTGACACGCCCCCTCCTGCCCCCCACTACACACACACACATACACATTGCTTTTCCTTTTTTAAACCCTTTGAGAACAAGTTGCTGACATGATGTCCCGTATCCCTAAGTACTCTGGTATATACTTTTAGAAACAAGGGCCTTCTGTGATATACCTGGAAATCACCATGCAGCACTACACGAACCTCATTCAGATTTTTGCCAGTTATCCTAATAATTTTCTTTATAGAAAAAGAAAATTGCGATCACAAGTTCCAATTATTTGTCACGTCTCCTTCATGATCTTGGCTTGTTTGAGGAGTCCAGTCTAATTGTTTATGGACCGCCCCACAAATTGGGTTTGTCCGGTAGTTTCTCACAATTAGATCCAGGTTAGGCATCTGGGGCAGGTCTATGGGATGGGTGGTGCTATGTCCTCAGTGCATCCTATTAGGAGGCATGTGATGCTGACTTGGTCCATTGCTGGTGAGGTGAACTCCGACCACTTGAGGAAGTTGGTGTCTGCCGACTTTAACAGCAAAAGGGGCAGGGCTGGGTTACTTGATCCTTTGAGATTCTTTTTCTTTTTTTACTTTTTATTTTGACATAATTTTAGGCTTATAGAGAAGTTGCAAGCATAGTACAAAGAAATCCCGTATGCTCTACCCCCAGATCCCCCAGATACTACGTAAGCCTTTCAGGAAGTAAGTCTGCACGACTTAGTTTTTCTACTGTAAAATCACTATTGCCCCTCTTGTAATTAATAAGTATCTTATGGGGGAGGGGTACTTTGAGACGATGTTGTTTTATATCATTCATCAAACTTACACTCCCTAGCTTTAGCCCCTTGAAAATCTTGATAGCTCTTAGATTCAAGTTGTGTTTTGAGGCTCTGTGGCATGGATAACAAGCCAACTGGTATCCAGTGTTCATTTGATCAATCGTTTTAAAACTTGGCCCTTGAGCCTTATTTTTTAATTTTAAGCTGAAACAGATGCCCTTGAGTAGAACCCACCAGGCTGAAGGCGTGGTGGAGGGGGGCATTAGGAGAATGCCTTGAAGTCTGAACCCACTGGCCTCGGGTTTGAAGAGACTGCCAGTTACAGAAGAAGAAAACAACGAGACAAAAGTGTTTTTCACAATAGAGCTCAGGTCTTTCCCTGCATTTAAAGTTAGTCTAAGTCATTTCCCATCAATTCATTTATTGAAATGCATAACTGAGAGGCATTGAAGGTTACTTCGCTATTGAGGTTTTAAATTTTTTCTTAGATGTTATTGTTGAAAAGAGCTAAAAATGGCCTGAGTCATTTCCTTCTGCAGGCGCACACTTCCTCTATGTGGGCTTTTAAGAGCACATTATGGTATTTATTTAAGATTGGTTTCCTAGTTTTAAATTTCGTGATGGAATCTATCAGAGATAATATTTTTCAACGGAATACTGTGGACCTTGGATTCCTGTATTTCTCCTCACATTCCGTGTCTGCTTTTCTCCCTTACATGCCTGTTAGTGTGGCTGCCACTTTAAGAAATGGCTTTCCTCAGACTGCTAATTACAAAATGAAGTGTTCTAGTCTCCCTGCTTCCTAACAAAAGTCTCTTTTCATATTCTCCCCTTTTCTAATAACCACCTGCAAATCATGGTGGGTGTGGGGACATTTTGAGATTTTGTTTCATTTGAGCCTCTGTTCTCACTAGTGAGCATTATTCTCACACAAAAAAATATCGATCATTGTTTTTAAAAACAGATATATTAGAAAATGAGTATGTATTAGACTATGTCACAGGCTGTCGGTACAGTATTCTCACTGCACCATGCACGATTGATACAAACGTGTGAGACAGGATTCCTACTCACTTAGCATGACGTCTGTTGGAGGGCACTGGACATATCACACAACATCATATACAGAGCTGTGGAAATAATAGTACAAGATAGCATTTGTTGTATGTGGATTAGCGCACCTTTTCTGGATGAGCCAGAACGTCAACAGAGCCTTGAAGAGCCAGAATCAGTAGGAACAAGGAGAAGAACATTCTAGGCCAGTAGACTGCGCCCCAAAGGGTTAGCGATGGGGATGTAAATGGTCTGCTTCCATGAGCCCACACAGAGCCCTGGCTGAGGGGGAGGCCTTTAGAACGAAGGAGACCAACCAAAGTGGGTACCATTCCACTCGTTAACATGCTCTCCTAAAGACTGTGTGTGCTCGGCAAGCTCACTGACTGGTTAGTAAACAAGTTGACATGGTAAGAGATGCAGCAATGAGATGAAAAGAAGTCAGGTAGATGAAAGTGCTAAGAGGGAGGAAAGGCCTCGTTGAGGCATTTGAAGGTGTCCGGGGAGATAATTACGGGGTTTTCACTTAGACTGTCTGTGCTGGACACACTTGAAAACTTGACCCTAATTAGTCAGTGCTGCCTGCCTCTCTTTGCCCTGACAGCGGAAGACACTGAACTGCTTTGTGCGGCTTGCACACAACTCCATCGCACTTTAGAGGAAGAAAACATGCTCGGAAAGAAATTCAGGAGGAGGAGTCATCTCCTGAAGACCCTGTATAAACTAGTTGATGTTGGCTCAGACCCGCTCAGCCTTAAACTGGCAAAACTTATTCTGGCAGTAAGTTCTTCTCCCCTCTGGTCTCATAGACGGTAGCACATGAAAGTGTTGTTGAATGCTCTGCTGGTAAATACCACCAAATTGGTTAGCAATGCGGTGTGTTCATTTAGAATGTTGAAAGAAGTTCAGGTGATAAACCGATATCCCAGAATTTGACTAGAATGTACTAAGGAACTAAGGCTGAGGACCCAGAAAATGTTCCAATGAACTCTAACATGTGGACTGTGGCTGGGTTAGGAAATGGGACAATAGGCAAACACATTCAAGACAGTTGCTCTGATAACCTGACTGGAGCTCAGTATCGACATGCAGGCGGTGGTTTCTGCCCTGCAGTTTCTGCTGGGCGCTCCGCTTGCCAGGGCATTTAATCAATAACTTAAGATGACTTGGGCCCGGGCACAAGGGCCAGCTGCTGTGTGAGCCAGCGTGAAGCAGAGAAACAGCTGCATGCGGTCGTGGGAAGGTGGTCACAGATGGCTCCTGAGAGGTGTTGGAAGAAAGGGCCAGACACCACATAAAAGCGTAAAAATTCTGTCTCAAACAAAGTGATATCATTGTATGAGGAGACCACCTTGTTGTCATAGCCATAAACAGTCGGAACCAAAAGATAAGGCACAAGTGTTATAGAATGTTCTGAGAGAGCCGCTAAAACAAACGAAGCTTTGTCTACCCTGTTTCATAAAAGTAAAAGCTATTGGGGTAACAGCCCATAACTTATACCATTTAAAATCTTAAAGCACACAGCGAGAGTAAGCGCTGGCATACTTACTGACAGTGAGGAAGCGTGTCCACCGTTTCTTCGTGTGATGTCTTTCATGCAGCGAAATATTCTGACTGTATGTCCAGTGTAGTTTTTTGGAGCAGCTACAGTTTTGTTTAAGCTGTCATCCCAAACTGTTCACCCTCCCTGTAAAAACTGTGATATGATATATGACTCAGAAAGCAGCCCTTCTCTGAAGTAGTGATGTCAGTAGCATTTGAATCCCCTTTCATTGGTGATAATTGATCCATCGCTTTAGTGAAACAAAAGGAGCATAAACCACAGGGAGGACTTCCGAAGTCAAAGCTGTTAGTGGAGGTGAAAGGAGGTCAGCGTGCTTGTCCAGCTCCCTTTCGGGCCCTGGATTTGGGTCACTGTCTGGCCCAGGAGAGCCCCGGTGTGAGGCGGGAGGGCCCTGCCGGTGTAGCTGCCCGCTGCCCAGGGATGGCTTTTGGTTTCCCACCTAGATCCTAGACATTTGTCCAGGCCACGCCAACAAAATTAGTAAGTCAGAGAGCAAGAGAGAGACGGAAAATGCCATGAATTTGTTAATGCATTGCAGAGAAAGTGTTATTTTGGTTATTCAAGGTGCCATTCAAATTCATTGTACACATGTGGCACAAGTTAACTATTTTAGAGCAAAAAGCTCAGTGACCTGCCCGGCAGTGAGCATGCTCAGAATGAAACGTGTGTTAGATGGCGCCCTCTCTGTGACCGGCTGCCTCGCAGAATCGGGCAGGGCTCGCTGGGCTACACTCCGGAGCGCAGAGACGGGTAGGCTGGCCCCTCTGATGAGCTCTGAGCCCACGAGGTCAGGAAGGACCTTCAAGGCCATCGGGCCCAACGTCCCCTCTGCCTCCGGACTCTCCTGTCATGTCCCAGGCAAGACGTTGTTTTGCTTAGGCCTTGGTGATGGGGTTCTACGTAAATTTTAAAAAGACCACGTAAAAAGCTGTTGAAAAGAGTCGGCCTAAAACTAACGATATATAGGACTAAGAAGGTTCTAATAACTTCTTTCCGCCTACTTTTATTTTATCTATCAGTTTAATGCAACAATTGAGGCATTTTGAATTACTTATAGTTAAAAAAAATTCAGTGAGCATAATGTTAGTTGTTCTGATTTCTTGCATTCTTTGGTGAAGTGGGGGTTTGTCAGACCATTTTAATTTTCGTCTTTGTGTTGAAAAATCTTACAAAAATATATCAGTCTATATTAAGAGCATAAACATTATACAGTGTGAATGTAATTATATTCAGCAGGAGGAAAAACCTAGCACCCTATAAAAGGGGAAAAACGGAAAAGAAATACCAGTATGTCAACAGTGATTATATACAGGGGTAGTATTATGAGTGATTTTTAGGCTTCTCTTTAAATAGAAACGACTACTATTTTTAACATAAGAAAAATACCCCATTAAAGGAACCAAGTCCGTGCCAGGGACTCTTGACACTGGAAATATGAGTGAATAACATAGCCCCTGGCCTCGGGGCTGGCACTGTAGCAGGAGAGACAGACGGTAAACACACCAAGTGCCAGAGGGGGCTGGTGGGCACTGTGGGAAGAAATAAGCTGGAGTTCAGGAAATGGGCAGCACTGGGGCGGGGAGTGCTGTTGCGTGTAAGGTAGTGTATATTCCTTGCATGTAATTTAATGTTTTATTATCTTTTCATGTCTCAAAGTCATAATTTTGCAGTTATCAAAAGAGAAGGTGTAGGAATATGCTTTGACTATAAATTGACCTTATGGCAGACTTGGAACTTGTGAGTTATTTGTTGTTTTCTCTAATGAAAACTCTGACACTGTTTTTTGTTTGTTTGTTTCACTTTGCCACTTTTCACTAAAATTATATGACTTGGCTGGTAGGGTGAGGTTAGTTGTATTCAAGAAGCTTTATTACATATACAACACATGCTACCTACCACCATAAAAAGAATAATACATCATGATTTTGACCTCAGAATCTCACAATATAGTAGAACATTGTTGACAGATTAAAATGTATTCCCAAATATTAAGGACATTATATTTTCTTTTTACAAATATTTTAATGTTTTTATTCATTTTAGAGAGAGGGGAAGGGAGAAGGAGAGAGAGAGAAACATCAGTCGGCTGCCTCCTGCACACACCACACACACACCATGCCCCTCCGCCCCCCACCCCGGGGATCAAGCCTCAACCTGGGCATGTGCCCTGACCAGGAAATCTTACAGGCAACCTCTGGGTGCACAGACCAATGCTCAACCAACACTGGCCCAGCTAGATTTCTGTTACAAGATCTGTCGATAGTTTCTGAGGCTTACTCAACAGGGCTTCTCAGACTGGAATGTGCACATGACCCCCTGGGGAGCTTGTTAAAATGCAGATTCTGATGCAGTCCTGCTGGGTGGGCTGGGATTCTGCCTTTCTAATACACGACCAGGCGATGCCAACCTGAGGTGACATGACCTGTCTGAGGAGCAAGCAGACTCCTCAGTTGCAAAATGGGAATGACAGCATCTGATCTGCAGCGTGGCTCTGTGATCGCAGGTAAAGGGCCCAGAGCAGGGAGCGGGAAGAAGGGTAACGCTCCCTCCCTCCGCCCCTCCAGAGGGGGCTGACCGATTCATCACAGTGTCTCCTATAGCAAACACCGCAGGGCCAGGCACACACTAGGAGCTCAATAATATTTATGGGCCAGACACAGAACAAATCTAAAACTATGTATGACAGATTCCATTATCTTTTTAAAAACTAACTGAAAACTCTTTAATAAATGATAATTAAAGATAATTCAAAATATATTTTTTAAGAATAAAATAATGACCCATATGCCATCCTTTTCACACAGATACATTTATTTGTTCAGATGACCCCATTCCTACAAACATATTTTACAGTCTTGCAATGGGGGTACATCATATTTCCATCTTATAATAGCGTATAGATGTCTTTCTTTTTAAACATAGTGTTCACAGTTATACTTTTTATGGCTGCTTAATATGACTAGTATTGATGTTCCACAATTTATTAAATTTTCCCCTAATATTGGGATTTTTTTTAATATTGGACATTTAGGATTTTTCTTTTTAATTTCTACTATTTTAGATAAACACACGGCAAATTTAGTTAGTCCTCCTATACTGTGTTTTTAAAAAATGTATGCTTCCTTATTGCCCCTATGTTACTTGAATACTTTTGTGTGATTTGGAAGGTAATTTTAAACTTTGAACTTTATGTGTCATTATCCCAAAGCATTCCAGAAATAGCTCTTAAAAATAAATACATATATTATCTAATGAGAGAATGACTTTTTAATTTTATTTTACACAAATGATAAAGAGAATCATACTTCCCCTTCTTTTCTTTCACCTCCACTGTGCTTTCTAAGGTAGTTTAATCTGAAATCTGTGTCCATCTTCCTTTACTTTTGTGTTTTAAAGCAATTAGTCAACTTAGTTAAATTTATCAACATCATGCCCCCTTTTACCCTCATATATTCTTTAAAGAGTAACTAGTAATCTCACATATAAGCATGAGACCTTATGAAGTAAAAATAAATGCTTATTATTAAAATGCGATTACTCTAAATATTGTTCATATTAGATGGTTGGCAAATATGTGGCCAGAACTTTTAAAAGTTGATTTCTTTAGAACTTTACTTTGTTTTCAAAATACTTTTGCTGAGCCCCAGCCGGTTTGACTCAGTGGATAGAGCATCAGCCTGCAGACCAAAGGGTCCAGGGTTTGATTCTGGTCAAGGGCACATACCTTGTACCTTGGTTGCAGGCTCCTCCCCGGCCTGGGGCCCTGGTCAGGGCACTTGCAGGAGGCAACCAATCGATGTGTCTCTCACACGTCGATATCTCTCTCTGTCTTTCCCTCTCTCTTCCACTCTCGCTAAAATCAATGGAAAAATCCTAGGGTGAGGATTAAAAAACACACACAAACAAACAACTCTTGCTCAACCTTTAAAATTAGATTTGTGTTAAAAAACCTATGACGTCTTTATTTCCATCCATAATAGAAATGTGTTCTCTTTCTCTGCAGCTTAAAGTGAGTAGAAAGAATCTTCTCAATGTCTGCAAACTTATATTTAAAATTAGCAGGAGTGAGAAGAATGATTCTCTGATTCAAAGTGACAGCATTCTGGGTGAGTACCACTCAGTGCTACCATTGACCAAGTGTTGCACTTGAGAGCAAAGTTACAATTAGCGATAGCTAGAGTATTTTATTCTCTAGTATTATCAGAAGTTATGTGATACCTATTTTTACTCTGTTCTTTCCTATGTTTTCCACATTCCATTTAATATATCCTTTGGAGCTTAGAAGGATTGCCTACTATTTTTTTAATGCGTGTGTACCATTATGTGACTTTGCAAAATGTTCACTATTTAAAAATTCATTTCCTGGTCTTGGATTTACTATTTTAAAAAACCACCACATTTCATATAGTATTGACATAATTAACATTTCAGCCTTTTGATGTAGTAGGAATGACTAAAACTTGGAAGACATCTGTAACTATTATAGAAATTTGACATCAAAGTGTCTCAAATGTGTTTCAAATATGTAGATAGAGAATTTTACTCTATCTAGTTAATACGGTCTAATTCTTGACGTGCCCTTAAATAATTAAGATGCTTTAATAGCTACCTAAATAGAAGTCTTTTATGAAATTGTATTGCTGATCTAAAAGAAGGCAGCATGGAAAATACTTTGAGTCCTCTTTTTGCAACAGAGGATAAATGGTCTTCATCTATTTTTTATCCCAGCATACAGGGACAAGCCCAGTACTGGAAGAAATGTCAGTGAATCAGCTCATTGAGAATTGTAGACTAAAAACAAAGAAAGATTCTGACAAATGATCACATTAATATTAATAAAACGTGAGATAGGCATGATTAGCCTTATCAGGCTTACTTAGATCACTCCTAAAACCTAGTATTGTATGTTTTTGGATGGATGTTCTTAAGTTGTCTTGGGAAAGGGTGGATGTTATATTTGAAGCATTCCTTTCTATGGTGATTGAGATTTTTTTTAAAAGATCCTATCTTGATTGATTTCCCATTCATACAACAACTGGTATATTTTAAATGGTTTGTTGAAATGTAACTCTTAAATTGCTTTAATAATAAGTTAATAGCTCAAAATGTTTGCAACCAAAAACAAGGCTAGTTAGTAAGTGTTAGTAAGAGGCAAGGAATGGCATTCAAAGAACACTGTCTTATTTATATACTAGTGGCCCAGTGCACGGATTTATGCACACTGAAAGGAAATTAATTAAAAGGTGGTGGGTGGGGCGGGACTGGGCGAGATTGCCAGACATGCCCTGGAGCCAACCTCCTGCGGTCCCTCCCTGGCCGGCGCACCTGGGGCAGCGCCATGGCTTGAAGGGCATCTGCAGAGTGAGTGGGGTCCCTTCGGCAGATGGGGTCCCTCAGCCTGGCCTGCAGGGATCTGGCCAAAACCAGCTCTATGACATTCCCCAAGGGGTCCCGGAGTGCAAGAGGGCACTCTGCAAAGTTGTTGTTGCTCTGCAGCTCCTTCATTGAGCATCTGCCCCCTGGTGGTCGGTGCGCATCATACCTACTGGTCAGTCGGATGGTCGGTTGGTTAGACAGTCGCTTAGCCATATATATGTGTGTGTGTGTGTGTGTGTGTGTGTGTGTGTGTGTGTGTATTCCCCTTCCTTCTGTTTTTACTATTATGAAGATTTAGCTAAAGGTAGACTTTCCTCTTTATACCTATCAATAATCCATAACAAACATTCGACTGTAGGTTCTGACTAACATTCTACAAATTGTCTTTGAAGTTCACAAACAAACACTTTACTATGTCTCTCTCCAGCTGTTATAATCATACATTTGTAATAATCCATCTTTTTGACAGAATCATTATTGGAGGTCCTGAGAAGTGAAGACCTGCAAACTAACACTGAAGCTCTTTTATACTGTATGGGGACTATCAAATTCATTTCTGGAAATCCAGGATTTCGTAATGAAATGATCAGCAAAGGTGCTGTGGAAATACTGATGAATTTGATAGAGCAAATAAATGAGAATGCCAATAAATGTGGTACCTGTTTGCCCAATTCAGGCCACTTGTTAGTCCAAGTAAGTATTTTACTTGAAAAGGTAAGATGTGTTAAATTAGTTTTCATGTTACCTAGTAACAGTTACATGCCAGGTGAATGTGTTAACAGGTGGACTGTTGCCTACAGCTAGGCGGGAGTGCCTGGCCTTGAGGACCAAGGGCAGCAGTCACTGCCCCACCTCCTCCCTGTGTGTGCCCATTTCCTCTGGAAAAGCTATTCCAAGGCTTTTCATGGAGCAGCTGTCCACACAGCTTGCAGACAAATTTTCCACTACCCTGCAGAGAAAGAAGGCCTGGAACCATGAAAAAGCAGTGCCTCTCTGCAAAACAATTGCATGTTATAATCAGAATTATAATTATACTAGATGCCCCGGTACACCAAAAATTTGTGCACTTTGTTGGGGGGGGGGGGGCGGTCCCTCACCTCAACCTGTGCCCTCTGACAGTCTGAGACCCCTTGGGGGCAGCCCGGGAGCCCTCGGGGATGTCCACTTGCCAGCGGGGAGCAGGCCTAAGCTGTAGTCGGACATCCTTAGTGCTGCTGAGGA